GTGCCAAGTTATATTGAAATCAGACCAAAACTGTAGGAGGAGTAGCATTTTGAAAAATTGTTTACAGACGGACAGACAGACAGACAGACGGACGGACGACGGACGCATTACTATCGCATAAGCTCTTCTGGTCTCTGACCAGTAGAGCTAAAAATAGGTCTGCTTAATTACGGGGCGCAATAAGTACCCAGGGGAATTCCAACAGATTGTTGAGAGACTTGGTCTCCAAATACCACATAGATATTATTATCAATAAGAAACTCCAACATCTTTTTGATATCAACTTCAGAATATTTTTATCTATAATCAGAATGATTTTAACAAAGTAATTTTATAAAATTTAATGATCAATGACATGGTAATTTAATTTACAAGATCCACCTTTAGCGAAAAAGCGGCTGTCATTGGTGTCAAAAAGCCTGGACTTTAAATTTATCGAGGAATTTAAAGAACCTAGTTTTGTTCATTTGTTGACTTTTGTTTCTTTTAATTTTAAATCTGATCAATAAAGTTTTTTTTCAGTGTTTATACAGAATTCGCCAATGATCAAAACAGTAGAAACGTTCTACTTATTCCACGCATTTAAAGAATATCTACAAGTATAAAAATGTTTTGAATTCAAAGAATTTTTTGATAAAAATTTATTTCGCCGACTTTTTTGTTGTTTTTTTTATACAAAATATGACCGATGATGAAAGATGTACATTAAAGTGCTCTTCACAATAGAAGATGTAAATGGAGCTTTAATTTTCTTCCCCATATATTTATTTCCATATAATGATGGATATCCTAGTTTAATAATCATGCGATATTTTTGTTGTCACTTTGATGTTTTCTTGAATGATTTTTTTCCTATTTTAATGAATATCAAAGAGTCAAGGAATTAAACCACAAATAGGGCAAAAGTGATCGTTTCTACGATACTTTAAATCAATTCTTACACAAGAGATTCTTCGCTTCTTTTTATGTCGCTTGTAGAGCAGAGCGGCACTTAGGGGTCACTTTATACGGGGGCTTCAGACTGTCTGTCTGTCCGTCCGTCTGCAAAACCTTAAATCTCGAGAACTGTCAGAGACATTAATTTGGTATTTAGCACATATGACTTTTTTATTTTACCATGGTTACCGACCTAGCTATCCTTGTACTTGACTTTTGACCTTATTTTTAAAAGAGGTGACGGTGCCGACATACAACTTCTTTTAGAATCTAAGATGTAAGGTCATGCCATTTAGCATGTGCACTGCTTTTTGTCCCCCGCTTGAAAAGTGGGGGATATTAATTTGGGTTTGTCCGTCCGTCCGTCCGTCATGTCTTTCTGTCTGTCTGTAACGCTTTCGTTTCCACACATATCTCGAGAACCGTTTGAGCTTTTGCAATGAAATTTAGCATAGCAATTCCCTATGGCTAAAAAAGACCCCTATTGATTTTGAGGTCAAAAGGTCAAAGGTCAAGGTCATAAATAAGCAAATTCTGTCTGTTAAAACACTTTCGTTTCCACACGATATCTCTAGAACCATTTGAGCTATTGCAATGAAATTTTACATAACAACTCCCTGTGGCCTAATAAAGACCCCTATTGATTTTGAGGTCAAAAGGTCAAAGTTCAAGGTCGTAAATTTATACATTCTGTCTATGTGTAACACTATCATTTCCGGACGATATTTCAAGAAGATTTTGAGCTTATGCAATGTAATTTTATACCAAAACTCCCTAGGACGTATCTCGCCCCTCTCAAAGTGCCCCGCCCCGTTTGTTTTATTGGTATTTATAGTATTACATGTCGCTATTTTTAGCGCAGGGGCATGAGGAGAGTTATTGCGTATAAAACAGGTTCTCGGCGGACTTTATGTTCTTATTACATCTTTTAGAACTGTTTAATAAAGGCTAAATAAATAAAACACCATGGATTGTGTAAAATTTTGAGAATACCGAACATGAAAATATGAATATATACATGTATGTGACTTCAGTTCTGCATATACTTTACTGCCTGTAACATGGGCAGTGTAAAGCGTTTCTGTGGTCTAGTGGTTATGTCACTCGCTCCAAATGCGAGAGGTCCCGGGATCGAATCTCGGTCGATTCATTCCTTTTTTTTTTTTTTTTTTTTTTAAATACTTTTCTTTTTTTTTTACTAAATGAAAGTATTCAGCATGTGAAATGAAAAATTTATGAGGTTATAAAATCATCATTACAGTGTGATAAATATTCCATATAAAAAGAATCTTCTATACACATAATAAAGAATAAGCAATCAAATCTTTATATGTTGTTTTGGGCATATTGACATACATGTATTTTATTTGCTTCAGTATACATGTATACATTTAATAATTCTACAAATTCAGTCAGGGGGGATCCGATTTTTTCCCTAAGCGGGGGACACGAATTCTCTGAATTAGCTTGTTACAAACCATTTTAAACAAGATGTTTTTGTGAAACACTATGCGCCCATGGCAACAAAGTTCAAAAAGCTATTTCACAGTCAAGGTTACGAGGTCATTGACCTTCGTGTCGTTTGAAAAAAAAATATTAGTAGAGTAAGCATACTAAATTTGAAGTCTTTATCTCTTATGGTTAAAAAGTTATGATGAAAGTTCGAAAAAAGCTTTTTTAGCTTATAAGTCAAGGTCACAAGGACCTTGGTGTCATTTCAAAGAGCCTTATTAGTGGAGTATGCATACAAATATGAAGTCTCGATCTCTCACGGTTCAAAAGTTATGGCAAAGGTTAACGTTGACAACAAACAGATAAACAGACAGGACAAAAACAATGTATGCCCCCGATTTATCTATCCGGGTGCGTAAAAAATACTAGCGTCACAGTCCACTTTACCTTTGACCTTCTTTGCAAAATATACTGCATAAGGTAAAATTCAACTTGTGTCTTGAATTTAGAGAAACGGGGATTTGATAATTATCATTTATACACGTTTGTCAGCTCATGACAATGTACTTTGACACAGTAAATAAAAAACAGTAACCACTAAAACTGAAAATTAAGTACTTTTCAAATACATCGGGATGGGTTTTCCAATATGGATTGATGTAGACTGGCAATTTCAGTAAAGACAGACTGGGATTTTTTTCTCGAGATTGTTTGAAATCACGTATTGATAGATTAATAATTATTTATAATAATTTAAACTTTATTAATATCCTTTTTACTTTTGAGGGGTTGCACACATGAGTCTAAAGTTTTTATCGTCCAAAAAAAAAAAAAAATCTTCAAATTTTTTTCTCACCCTCAACTAAAAATAACACCAGGATGGCAAGTTTTTATCGTCGGGGTTAAATAGAAAAAAAAAAAAAAATCCGGAAATTTTTTTCCCACCCTCAACTAAAAATAACACCAGGATGGCAACGTGTTTTGGGCGGACCCGCCTTAGCAAATAGATCTGGGTTTGGTCAGAACAATTTCGCGACTTATTCAGTATCCAGAGAGTTTGTGCTATTTCTTTAAGCTAAAAGAAATCCAATCTACTTGACGACTATGGGCCGTACTTAGCCTTTTTTCCACCTTGACAGCTCATCTTGGACTCTATGCCACTAAACCGGAAGTGAATCTCGCAGTGACTATTTGACGTAATTGAAGTAAAGAAAGAAAAATGCATTTATAACTTTATGTAAAATATTAAGATACCATATGTGATAAATAAAAAAAATTGAAATAAAATAATGCTTTATCAGGTCGCTAAGTCTAGCTGTTTGACTTGTTGTTGACTGGTCTTTTCAATAATTTACATTTGGCGCCTTGTAAACACTAAATTATCTGCCCCTTGTGCATATCGTCACATAAGTAAGAAAAAGAATTGATAATCTTTTTGGGTTCTCTTAAATATATTTAAAATAGCTGAATCAAATTTCGTTGAACTATTTTTAAAAAAATCTTATTTGAACATGTTAATAAAGATGTCAAATATTAACTTCGGGATTCATTTCCGGTTAAGTGGCATGGAGTCAAGGATGAGCTGTCAAGGTGGAAAAAAGGCTATGTACGGCCCGTAGTCGTCAAGCAGCTTGGATTTTTAAACTTGAATCAATAGCACAAACACGTCGGATACTGCCCCCTCCCCCAAGAAAAAAAAAACCGTTGCCATCCTGTGGGGTTTTTTTAGTTGAGGGTGGGAAACTCTTTTCCGTTTTTTTTTTTTTTTTTTTTTTTTTTTGACGATAGAAACTTCAGACTCCACTGGGGTTGGGGAATTGTATTTAATTGCCAGATTCTATCGCAGTCTTACTATCCTTTGATTTTTTCCACAAACTAAATGGTAGTAGCATATAAATAGCTGACCAATCTTAGATTTTGTTATATCTTTAAGTTCCTTGGACTCTCTAACTTTTCAAATATTATACTCGAAGTATTTATCAAATTAAAGTTCCATTCTTTGGTTAAGAAAAATATTGAGCAACTAAAAATTGAGCAAAGACTTCACTTGAAGAATACACTTTTATGATGCAATATTAGTATCATTCCAAGAAAAATTAAAGGTCATAATACTAGCATGATTAAAATGTCGATTGTGTTACAACCGGTAAAGCATTTTTGTTTGAAGATGCATGTAGTCTCGGAAGGAAAATTTATACTGTATTTTGATTATTGGGTGAACGTCTCAAGAATACCATACATATATTTTTCTAGAATGGTTGCCACGAGAACATTTCTACTGAAAAGTTTTGTTTGTCATGGTTAAATACTTTTCAAGATGGGAACTTTACTTCTTAAATAAATTCACAAACTGAATTCAACTTTCACATATTTGAAGCGACACAATTTATGCGTTTTGCACGCCTTTTTGCCAATCTTTGAGTATTAAACTTACTCTCAGAAAAAAACTAGCTAATGATAGAAAGGTGAATTCAATATAAAACAAATTCTTGACATTTAAATACGTAAATGCAGTTATTTTGCTAGTTGTGTAAATTGCCAATTTTGTCCTTTCAGTTTTTAAAAGGAGTATTAAATAAATTATTATAATCCTTAAATTTTAATATATTTACCTTTTTCATCCAATTTTCTTCTCGTCAGTGGCCATGTCCCATAAAAATTTATATTTAAACAACCAACACCACTGCTTTTTCTTGGGGGACAGCTGGAAGTAGCCCCTAATGGCTGTCTTTCCGGAGAAACGTCCTTAACTCGCACATGTATTGCTGATACATGAAGTGTATTTGAGTGACCTGGTCGTATGGGGGATAAATCACCCGATTCATTCTTTGAGTGTATTGAAACATTTTCCGGTGATTTATTACATATATACACATAATTCACATCGTTCCCCACGGGCTCTAAGTGGATTGTTTCTTCATAACGAAAGCAGTGCGTACGATTGTTTTCCTCCTGGGATAGCGTATCAACTGCAATGGTCCTGGTAACATTTCGATGAAGATTTGCAGAATTTTCATCAATGCGACTTTTGTGTCTGTTTTCTATACGACATTTGGAATGAACCCATATGTAAAACCTACGAAACAACGATGTACGGGACTTCTGAACTTGCTTGTTTTCTTCCTTTAATCGAGTTTTCCGGAATGGAATTTTTAAGCGTTTCAAGGATCGTCGGAATGAAAGACGATGAGGCCTTGAATGAAAAATAACGGGAGATTCGTTTGTTGTATGAAATTTCCTCCAATGCTCATCTCCTACAGTTACAAGAAAACTTGAAGTGCCACACATTATATCAATATATTTAGATTAAACAGTGATCAACGTTTATTTAAGTTGACCGAAAGCTAAATCTAAGCAAACTTTTTACAGTAAATTCAAGCAGTTGATTAAAACGTTTGACTTATCAGTATTCCAAGTAAGACATATTTCTGTGTCATAATAGTCACAAGCGGGGGATAAATATAACTTTCAGATCTGGGGGGGGGGTAATTTTGTGCCCCCCCCCACACTTTTTAATGAAGAACAAAATCACAGCTATTTTGAAATATTAAACCTCCTTTTATGGCATTTTTTCTATGTTCAACAACTGAGTAAGCATTTCTGTTGAAGTAATATAGTTGTATAATGCGGGTCAAAAAATTGGAATTGAAAGTAACTTGCCTTTGAAAAAAAGTTGTCTTACTACCCCCCCCCCCCCCCCCCCCCCCTAAAACTAAAAAAAATACTTTTGCTTTATGTCATTGGTAAAAAACTGAAGGAAACGTGAAGATAGTTAACATTAGATAGAACGTCCTATCGTTAAAATTATTTTGTCCTACGGACCCGGTTTAACGATAGAAATCGTAACCTGTAATTGCGGGATATAATTCGGAACTCAATGCATTTCCTAAGAAAAATCCAGAGATCCGAATGTAAACGTGGCTTGTAAAATTGAAGCGAGAAAAAACATTGAGAAATTTAATAGGGGGAGGGGGGATAAAAGGTATATACAATCTCAAAAGGGTTTGTTTTGATTAATTTGGTAGTTAATGTCAACGCAACCCCTTTTGTATTCTTCGAAATCATTCTGGAGCGGATCCACTCCAATTTGCTACATTGCAAATATATGGGACGTATTTTAAATGTGGTGAGGGCTTGAATTGAGACTCAATTAATATTCTAAAAATAAGTGATCATTAATCTATTTCAAATTAAATTCATTGAAACAAAACTGGGTGAAGGGCAAACCCTTGAAAACATCAGAGCTTAGAACAGTGCCAAAGAGGAGTAAGCATCCCCTGTCGACAATCACCCCCGCATGCACAGTAATCCACGTCATAGATGGTCCAAGGGAAGAGTCCATAGAATAATAGACCAATAATTTGTGTGGAAAATGTCGGTTCAAAATCAACTACCAAATATATTGTATCTGCTGACAAGGTCATTGAATAGAACATTAAATTGGCACAATTGTTTAACTTTAAATTTGAAATGTCGTCAGAAAACTAACGGTACATATAGACAAAACGTCATTACCAATGTGTTCTTCTGTTTCATAAAAATGATATGTAATGATTCACATTTCTGTTTGCTATTTAGTTAATTTTCTACAAAATATTTAGTCTACCTGAGCTTACTTAAAAGAGCTTACCTTAACCAATATCATACCTGATATTTTCTTTGAAAGCTTTCGCTGGCATGTTGATTTCTCGTCAGATGTCGAAAATCTGTTAAATTATAAGCAAAGCAAAGTCAGAGAGTCATTGGTTGGGATGCAGTGATTCACAGCAAATTGTAATGCCCTTTAAAACGAATGCGACTTTAATTTATACTTTGCAAACTTATACGAAGTAAAATAGCTCAGAAATCACGAATGCGACTTAAATTTATACTTTGCAAACTTATACGAAGTAAATTAGCTCAGAAATTAATAAGAAGGTTGAACGTTTCCTGGGAAATGAATTTGGATGGACACGTGATAAAATCCTGTAAAGCGCGACAGCCTTCTATGTAAGTTTAAGAAAGTGTTTTTCTGTTTGTTTGTTTTTAAACGTCTGCTTCGATAATGTGGAGAGCTGCAAATTTTGTCCTATACTCGGCACTTACGGCCATTGAGCAGGGAGGGATCTTTTCGTGCCAGCAACTATACTGCTGGTGATGTCTCTGTTTGGGACGTTCAACAACAAACAACCAATTACCCTTGGGACATTTCATTTCTCTGGTAACCGATATTTTTTTTAATATATTTTCTTGACCCTGGCGTTTATTCATTAATCGCCATAAAATGTTATAAGGATGTTTAACTAACAATTTTTTAGACTTGGTTTGGAAAGATTCGAGTTTTTCAAATACCAAGAACCCGGAGGGTCCTAAACAATACTTGCTTTCGTATATACGATTTTGTTACTGTCGCAGCTTAGATATTTTAAAGCCAGATAAAGTTTTGGAATAATGAATACAAACATTGTCTCTATACATGTAATCTTGTCAGAAAATTTTGCAATAAGCTAGGTACAGTATAAACATCGTCAGTAACCAGGCATAATAAGGTATATGTACATGCAGATGAGATACAGGCGATTCAAGTGTTCCAACGAAAGAAACATACTTCCTAAAATCGTGCTTTTGATGTTCAGATGTAATAAACATATAGTAACTTAAAATTAAAATCATATAGATCATGTTTTTTCAGTGCCGTCGTATTGGCAATTTTGTGTTTTATTCTTCAAGAATTTTACTTTTATCAAACTTAATTTTAAAATATAAATGAAATTCTTATCGGCAAAAATACGATCAAAGCTAATTTGAAAATACTCACATTGAAAACGTATGTCGCCGACGTAAAGGGGGCGATTCTTCGGCATCATCCAAACAATAATTACTTCCAAATCTCGTTGACATTAAGCCTGAATTCAAGCTAAAATGGAGATTTCACAACAGCTGAAATTATAGGTACTGTAACTGATTGCAATTTATTTATTCATATCGGTTAAACTTACATATGAAAGGTCGTTGAATAATGCGAAATACTAAGTTCATCAAAGACATTCTAGTCTAGCCATATTTGGTGTGCAGTAAAATTGTAATGTCGGAATTTTTCTACTTGTGTCCATAGAGAATTCCTCAAAAAAGTTGTTTTGAGCACGGAAGTTTTAGGTTCCTTATAGGAAAACCTAATTTTTTTTTGTATTTGTCTGCAATATCTAATTTAATGAGAGTTCTAGAGAAAACGGAAACTAATAAGTATCCTCTTTGATGGGTAATAATAATTCAACGTGTTTTCTAGAAATATTCCGATTGCAGACAGCGTTTTATGGACTAATTCATTAACACGCAACACGCTGCTTCAATCCTCACGGGAAGAAATGTTCGTTGCTACTTTTGTCTAACAGTGAACCGAAAACACTTACTGAAATTTCTTCTATAAGAGGAGAACTCTTTGTTGTGGAGGATTGAAAAAAACCCAAATAATCCAGGATTACTTAACATCCAATTGTTGTTAGTTTGATAACAAAGCAAACAGATAAACATACCTTGTAAAAACCGAGTATAGGTCTTTGGCTGCTGTGCCTGAGATCAATAAAGCGCGCGTCGGTTCCCGCCGCCGTGGTATGACAGTGACACACTCCTTCTCTCTCAGCAGCTCTCTCTCAGCACTGCACTGACGTATAACATTGATTACACAACCGATTTACCATCGACGTGCTAATAGAAAAATTGTCAAGTTTTCTTTGGTATTTTGATTTCTTTAATTTATTTTTCTGTCATTTTGTGTCTTGTGAAAATTGGTTTAATGGACCTACATGATATGGTTGTTGTGGTCATACATGAATATTTTACAGTTCTTAGATATAATTCCAACTATATTCAACTGTACACAGACATTTCCATTTAATGCTTGTCTTTGCTTTTCAATGTTTTAATAACCAAATTAATCAATCATTGATAAATTCTGAACGGTTTCATTTGTAACAATCAAATATCAGATACATACTGTTAGGCGCATCTAGCGTAGAAATCGTAGAATAATAAATTTATAATCTGATAGTGATCTAGTAACTGCTAAAATTGATTTCTAAAAATTTTTCTTGGTTTTATGTGAACTTGTTCAATACATTCGAGAAACAGGATATGAAAGTGTTACTAACAATGAATTTTATAAAATCTGTAACTCTCTTGTATCCTTTCTATATATAATCGTTACAAAAATATTTTAAAATATAAAGGCAAAAATACCACATAAAGGGCGGTCACTCTGAGGGGACGGGGATTTCAAAATACCGTAAATGATAAAGAAAATTCGAACAAAGCCTTTTTCTTTTTCTAAGGAAAAGGATTCGAATGTAATGTCTTCAAATTATTTTTCTGTCATTTAAAAAGTAATTCAGTCTTTAATTTCCAGTAAATACAGAAGATTAGAATTAATTATGCTTTTAAGAAAGAAATGAGATATAGATTAATGAAGAAAATATATCTCGAAGTTTACTCTCCCAAAATAAAAAATAAAAATAGTTTTATACCATAATTTTAATGGTTGCATCATGCTTAATTGAATGTTATTATGATGTCATGCGAAAAACGTTGACACTGTCGCCGACTTGACTTTTTCTTAAAGTGCATGTACTCACTTGGTTGATATTTAAGAGCTTTTCTCTATTACAACTCATGATAAAGTCTTGCACTGTACTTGTTTTAACACGCATGATCACCGAGTTTGATGAAACTTTGTTAATATTTAAACCTTAGCACCAGAAACGTACATGTAATTTAAAAAAAAATGATTGCTATGTGTCTTGGTTGCAGTGGTAACAGCCACAGAAGTTTGAATTTTTCAGAGACATTTTGCTATACTTTGAATAGTTATTAAGCTTTAATAATAAAGACCAAGAGAAACAAATTATACAGTTCCTCTTTAAGCTTCTTCTGAATCAATTATATATAATTTTTTTAATAATATACATGTATCTCCAAGTAGATGGTTACCATGTCTACATTTCCATACTTTTAAATGCTGATAAACGTTTATATTTCACCAGTGATAGGTGGTACATGATTTTTTTTCAGTAACCAACACAAGGAATGAAAAATATTTGATATTTCCTAAATAAGAATTAAAGTATAAAAATTACTGTCTTTGTTACCGTGGAAACACAGAGAAGCTTAATAAAATGGGTTGTTTAGATTTAAATAATAGTGCTATTGTAAGGCAAGAAGTTATTTTTTAAAGAGACACTATGACGCACAAATGCGATATTTGACAAACGTAGAATTTTTGCATGATCCTTGTAAATTTTGTTCAATTCCTGAATGTATTAGGTTTCAGAAAATTACAGGTTTTGGAACCTAAAACTTCTATTTTTATGGAGAAAAACATTTTGATTCAGTAAAAAATAATTTCCGTATGACCCATCACGAAACTATTGTCCCACTTCTTTCTTCAGAAATTCTGAATAAGCTACCATGGTCTCAAGTTCTTAATGAATGAATGTAAGTACGTAGATCAAGAATTTTTATACAATCTTTTTAAAAAAAGTTGTTAGAACATATTTCTCATCTTTGCATGCCCCCGTTAAATGTTCGTGACAAGTTTGAGCTAAAAATAAAAATGGCGTGACCTTGACATACACAAAAACAACGACGTGGTAGATACATTATTTTTCCTCAAGTCATTCTTCTTCATTATATCATTTTGATCTGATAAAACTGAAGGGGGCTCTCTACAACGTCACAACATGGCGTACTTCCGTTGAAACGCCATTTTTGATCCCAAATGATCTGATTCAAATTCACTTAACACCGATAAATCACTGAATATAACACAACATGCGATATTGTTGATGGAATGTACATTGTATCCTCAATTAATACAGTGCATTGCCTAATACGTATCCGTTCTTTAAAAATGAATTGTTTGTCAATTTATTCAATTTGTACTTATTCAATTATTAAATAATATATTTACAAACTTATTAGAATAAGATTTTTAAGTGAGAAAAAATGATATAAAAACATGGCTTTTCCATATGTTAATTCATCATTACGTGTCAAAACGCCATACACTCAGATATTTCTTTTTTCTTCAATAAACATATATGCTTTCCAGCAAAATATATCCCCCCAAATGCAAATTTGATAAGATAAGACATATGTATTATCTTCCCATTGTCTAGAGGACTGTTCACAATTTGTATACACCCGAATGAATGGTTATACCCGGTGAAATTTAAACTCTTCATGAAATCACCCAAATGTTTGGACAGTAAGAAGAATTTTGTATGACCTAAACGTTTGATGAACATTGATTATCAGCTGTTTGTATGGAAAACATGCAGGTCTTACACGAAGTGTGAATTTGGTTATAAGAATTTCTTTTACCCGCTTTTGGCCATTTACCATGTTTACATGTGTTGTTATATCTAGCACTGGATAACACATACAATTTGGATAAAAATGGTAAGTAAATCTACCTTTCTCAATACCATGAATTCACTAAATACATGTCTTTGTCATTGACTGGAAACGTGAACTTCTGGTTTTCGCTTAAACTCGTTTGAAAAACAACACATGAACAATACAAACTTCTTTTGAACAATGTCCTTGCTTGACATTTTTTTTCAATACTTGTGCAAGTTATAGTAGAGACTAGAACTGTTTATTTGAAATTTTTTAAAAACAGTACCAAGATATTTGAGCCCACTCTTGAAACGGATCTCTCACACCTGAATTTTTGTGATGTTTGAAATTTTTGACAGTTTTTCAAATTTGTTCAATTTCTTTTTTTCACTGTTTTTAACCTTTAATATTATATATCTTTTCAGATATTGGAGAAGATCCAACCAGCTATTCTCAAGAAAATGCTGTTTTAGTTTTTCTTTTGTTGTTTTTGTAAATTTAAATAAAAATTATGTTGATTTAATTTTTAACTTTGTTGGTTATTATTTCAATATTTTATAACATTAAACTTTGAAGAAAAATTTAAAACACTGGGCTTTTGAAAATATAGATAGGAGGGGTTTTCACAAAATAAATAAATATTTCAAATATTTCTAAAAAATAAATTGAAATACTTTGAAACCTTATTTTATCAGATATGGAGCCTATTATTAGAAACAAATGTATGCAACAAAAATCAGTTATACTTTATAGGTGTAGAGATCCTCCTTAAATTGGGGTAGACTTGAAACAAGAAACAATGAAATATCACACATCACGTCAAGTAAGTTGAAGAAAAGAGAACTCTTACGATGTTTATTAAAAAGGGAAAATGTTCGATTGTGTAAATGTGAGGCCTAGGTGGTAGCTTTTCGTATTCAGTTACAGATATTGCACAGCGCAAGAATTGGAAACACTGAATTTGTTTAGGGTCCTGCACACATCCCCAACTTTTGTTCTCATATTGCTAAGCATTTCTTTTAAAGCATATAAACCTTTAGAAACTGAAAAGGAATTAAAATTTAATTGAATCTGAATTTTAAAAAAAAATATATTCATAAGTTTCAAGATATTTTTTCCAGGGCGCTTTCATACGTAGACATACATTTTTTTCCCTATCGTATATTACTCGTATTTGGCCCACACAATAACCAAATAAAAAAAAAAAACTAAAGGAGTGTACTTAAGCCATGAGAGTTGAGTCCCGGTGCTTTGCGCGAAATAAAATTCCAAAACTCAATTTTATGTGTTACAGTTATTAAACAATGTCTCAAAAGTAGGTTTTGGTAAGTTTTATTACATGAAAATATTTCAAAATGCCGAGCGACACTAGCTTTTGAGACGGGGCCTAACAATTTTGTCACATTTCTTTTGTAATTATGTACATATTAATTTTCAACGACATTCTTTACATCGAGCCGCGACTTGTCATAGGGTGCGTTCAGAGTATTTCCATTGGTACCATCACCTGTTTGCCAATGGCAACAATTTGTACCGTTGGTACCATTGGGCCCATGTTTACTCTGAACGTTTTTTTGGGTACAATTGGTAGGAATCTCACCAATGTTAACAATGGTACCATTGGTGTACCATTGGTTACCATTGGCTTATTATTTAGAAGAAAATGTCCAACGAAGAAAATATAATAATTGCTTCATGCATCATTTTACAACAAGAGAGTATGATTAGAAATACTTTTTTAGTTCAATGAAGTACTTCTCCCTTCCAGATTATTTTCTCCTACAAAACTTGCGTAGATCTTCAG